TCTGCAGGATCCAAAGCGCGAAATAGAGAAGGTGCTCCAGTTTCTGGGAAAGGACCTGAAGGAGGAAGTGGTGAATAAAATCCTCCAGCATACCTCCTTCCAGGAGATGAAGAAGAATCCTACTGCTAACTATGAAATGATGCCAACCTGGGCTATGGACCACAGTGTGTCTCCATTCATGAGGAAAGGTAAGAGGCTTACAGGAAAGGCCAGTAAGATAACAGCAGGAACAGTTTTCTACAATTCTTACTAGCTCCTGATTCCACTTTCACAGGAAGGGAAATTCCCAGAGTGAGTATTTTTCTCTGTTAGCCAAGCCCAGTTAATGGTGGAGCTGCATATGGAAGGCCCAGCTCAGATAAATTACCATAAGGAAGGTTCTCCTGTTTAGTTTCTAGCATGCAGATCCTGGTGTAGCACTCTGGAGAGCATGACTGATCTTGTGGTTTTGGCACTAACTGGGGCTTCAGGAAATTTGGGTTCTGTTTCTTGCTCTGATATTGACTCGCTATGTGGCATTGGGCAAGTCTCTGAGGCCCTGAAATCAATGGATATTAGGAGCCTAAATATCTTTGAGGAGGTGGGCCTTGACTTCCATGTGCCACACTTTTGCCATCTGCAAAATGGGGATATCCAGAAGGACGTGCCCTTGTTCGTTTACACCAGGGGTCAGCAACCTTTCAGAAGTGGTGTGCCGAATCTTCATTTATTCACTCTAATTTAAGGTTTCGCGTGCCAGTAATACATGTTAACGTTTTCAGAAGGTCTCTTTCTATAAGTCTATAATACATAACTAAACTATTGTTGTATGTAAAGTAAATAACGTTTTTAAATTTTTTAAGAAGCTTCATTTAAAATTAAATTAAAATGCAGAGCCCCCTGGACTGGTGGTCAGGACCCGGGCAGTGTGAGTGCCACTGAAAATCAGCTCATATGCCGCCTTTGGCACGCATGCCATAGGTTGCCTACCCCTGGTTTACACTATAAACTCCTCCGGGCACAGTTTGTCTCATACTATGTCAGCGTACAGTACGTACCCCAGTGGGGGACTTCAGGTGCAATCCAAATAATATTAATGATTTGCCATTCCTGGACCTGAGTTAATATGTGACTGTGGCCTGCAGGAAGAGATCACAGATATCAGTGTCCTCAATTTGGGAGTGCACACAATATCCATTGACAGTTCAACAATGCTAATTACTGTTGGTGTTTCTTGCATGCATCTTAAAAACAATTGTTTGGATACAAAGATCCTCTTCTCTCTTGAGAAGGAAAAATAGACACTGGCCTAGGTTTTCCAAAGTTCCTGGTACTTTTGGGTGACCAGCCTGAGACCCCTTTTAAGGGTTTGAGTTTTTGAAGGCGGGTACTGAGCATTTTCTGAAAATTGGGGACCCTTAAAGGTGTCTCAAGTTGAGCATCCAAGATCCCTCGGAAGTTTGGAAAATGTACGTGCATTAATCATACCTCTGAGATGCATGACTGGTGTGAAGAGATGTTCCGTAGGACCCCTCTGCCCACGACACACACACAGTCCCCAGCAGTGAGGACAATGTAAAGTTTGTGTGAACCCCATAAACCTCAAAGGACTGGCCCCTCAAATAAATGTTTCCTGCTGCTTCTAACCTTAACTTGCTTAACTTGAAAGTCTCATGCAGCCTTTTGATCTGCTACATTTTCTCCTTTGTTCCTGTTAAGCATCTAGGCAAAGAGAACACCAAAAACCTGACTTAGAATTCTATCTGAATAGCCCTAGGACCACAGTGCTATACTAGGGCCTTTTGGACTATCTTTGGGAAAGAAGATAACAGAAACAGAACCTCAGAAGTGGGGCAGGAGCCCAGAAGGGGAGAATAAACTAGCCATTCTTTTGTTTTCTTCCCATCAGGGATGTCAGGAGACTGGAAGAATTACTTCACCGTGGCTCAGAATGAGATATTTGATGCACATTATAAAGAGCAGATGAAAGGCTCGACATTCAGATGCCAAATGGAGATATGAAGAAAAGGCTTCCCTATGTTTCATCAGACAAATGCTAGCTGTCTAAATACTAAAATAGGTGAACTGCCTGGCCTTAAATGAGGATATTGATATAATAGGCATCATGGAAACTTGGTGTAATGAGGATAATCAGTGGACTTGCAATAATACGAGGGTACAAAATATATAGGAATGACAGAGCTGGTGGGGGAGTGGCACTATATGTGAAAGACAGCATAGTCAAGTAAAGTAAAAATCTAAAATGAATTAAACTGAACCATAGAATCGCTATGGATAGAAATTTCATTTTGAATAATCAGAGTATAGCAGTAGGAATATGCTACCGACCACCTGACCAGGAAAGTGATGGTGACTTTGAAGGAGTTTAGAGAGGCTATGAAGACAGAAAACCCAATAATAATGGGGGATTTCAACTGTCCTCATATTGACTGGGTACATGTCATCTCAAAAAGGGATGCAGAGGTAAAATTTCTAGACACATTAAATGACTGCGTCTTGGTTCAGCTTGTCCTGGAACTCTCAAGGGGAGAGGTAATTCTTCATTTTAATCCTAAGTGGAGCACAGAATATGGCCAAGAGGTAAATATAGCTGAACATCTCAGTAATAGCGACAATGATGTAATTAAATTTAACATTCTTGGAGGGGGAGAAATGCCAAAGAAACCCACCACAATAGCATTTAACTTCAAAACAGGTAACTACACAAAAATGAGGAAGCTAGTTAGACGGCAGTTAAGAGGAACCGTTACAAGAGTGAAATGCCTGCAAACTGCATGGAGACTACGTAAAAGCACCATAACTGAGGCAGTAAAAGGACCAAAAAAATTCCACCATGCGTAAGCGGCTGAATAAAAGAGATGATTAGAGGCTAAAAGGTATCCTTTAAAAATTGGAAGTTAAGTCCTAGTGAGGAAAATAGAAAGAAACATAAATTCAGGCAAGTCAAGTGTAAATGTATGATATAACAGACCAAGAAAGAATTTGAAGAGCAACTAGCTAAGTACACAAAAACTAACAGCAAAAAAAGTACATCAGAAGCAGAAATCCTGCCAAACAGTCAGTGGATCCACTGGATGATTGTGTTGCTAAAGGAGCACTCAGAGATGACAAGGCTCTGGCAGAGAAGCTAAATTAATTTTTGAATTGGTTTTCACTGAAGAGGATGAGGGGGATCCCCACATCTGAGCCGTTCTTTTTAGGTGACAAATCCGAGGAACTGTTGATTGAGGTGTCAGTAGAAGAGGTTTCAGAACAAATTGATAAATTAAACAGTAATAAATCACCAGGACCAGAGGGCATTCACCCAAGAGTTCTGAAGGAACTCAAATAAATTGCAGAACTACTAACTATGGTTTATTTAAATCAGCCTGTGTACCAGATGATTGCAGGATAGCTAATGTGATGCTGATTTTTAAAAAAGGCTCCGCACAATGTAGTAAAATGGTTAATAACTAGAAGAACATACTTGGCAGCAGTGAGGTCCAGTGGCTAGAGCACTGGGACCTGCACTCTGACAATGACCTGCTGTGTAACCTTAGTCAAGTCTCATAACTGTTCTGTTGATGAGCTTTATGTGCTGCTGCCATAAATTAGAGCTACTCTGACTTACGCCAGGGGCCACTCTGGCTCCTGAAACAGTTTTAAGCTACCTTGGCACCTCCCCATCCCAGCTGCAAAATCCCACCTTTTGTCTCAGTTTTTCCCTTCTGTACCATGGGGATGGTGATGCTTAATGCACTACTGGAAGGTGCTCAGATACCTATAAAAACCTATATACAAATAGAATAAAGTGCTGGAGCTTATTATTAAAAGCACTGAAGTGACTTAGGAGCACATGTCCCGCTGAACGTCAATATGACGTGTACTTCTTAGGCACTTTTGAAAATCCCACCCACTCACCCTCTTTTGTAAGGCACTTTGAGACCTGTGGATGCGCTTAGTAAAAGCTAAATATTATTAATCTAATTCCTCATTGCCCTGTCAATGCAAGCATTAACAAAGTACAGTAACTCCACTTTGAAAATAGATATTCATCATGTCTCTTGGTTATACGAACTTATACAATTGCCAAGTGCCTTTGGAAACCATTTTTGTATGCAGTGTTGTTGTAGCCATGTTGGTCCCGGGGTATTGGAGATACAAGGTCGGTGAGGTAACATCTTTTACTGGACCAACTTCTATTGGTGAGAGAGACGAGCTTTTGAGCTTACAGAAAGGTGAGACCCGAAGAAGAGCTCTATATAATCTCGAAAGCTTGTCTCTCTCACCAACAGAAGAAGTTGGTCCAATAAAATATATTACTTCCCCCACCTTGTCTCTCTTTTTGAACTATTGTCCATTTCAATCCTATTCTTGAGACTTTCCTTCTTATTCTATGGTATAATGATCACCTTAAAAATTATCCCTTTAATAGAGAACAAAGTTTGTTACTAACTGCCAGTCACTGAGTTAATGTTCAGAATCTCCATTGAAGCTGAAGAACTGAGGGGCAGTTTAGTTGTAGGCTTTTAATAAGTTGATGGGAGGCTGGGATCCCTTTCTGAGCAGTAGCTCTTGCACTCAGGTAGCTTTTGCCTTCAGCAGGGCCGGCTCCAGGCACCAGCTTGTCAAGCAGGTGCTTGGGGCGGCCACTCTGGAGAGGGGCGGCACATCCAGCTATTCGGCGGCAATTCGGCGGTTGGTCCCTCACTCCGGCTCGGAGCGAAGGACCTTCCGCCGAATTGCTGCCGCAGATCGCAATTGCGATCGCAGCTTTTTTTTTTTTTTTTTTTT